GAGAGGATATATGTCATCAGGAAAAACTGTAAAAACTTTGAAACAGCTGGCAGGGGCAAGATGGCGGAAGAGCAGGGTCCCCAAATCACCTGTCCCCACCAAATTACCTAGATAACCTTCAAACCATCCTGAAAATCTACGAATTCGGCCTGAGATGTAAAGAGAGACCAGCTGGAACGCTACAGTGAGAAAAGTTCGCGCTTCTATCAAGGTAGGAAGACGGGGAAAAAGAAATAAAGAAACAAAAGGCCTCCGAGGGGGAGGGGCCCCGCGAGGAGCCGGGCTGAGGCCGGGGCGAGTGTCCCCAGGACAGGAGAGGCCCGTCCCGGAGAAGCAGGAGCTGCACCAACCTTCCCGGGCGGGCGGAAAGGGGCTCGCAGGGAGTTAGAGCAGGACCCAGGAGAGCGGGGATGCCCTCGGGCTCCCGGGGACACTAACAGACACCTGCGAGCGCAGGAGAGTGCGCCGAGTTCCCTAAGGGCTGCAGGGCGCACGGCGGGACCAGAGCAGCTCTGAGGGGCTCGGGAGCGGCTCCAGGGAGGGAGCTGCAGGGCGGGAGCGCAAATCCAACAGCGCAGGCCCCGGAGCACAGGGCGCCGGGACACAGCCCAGGATCCGGCCTCCCCCGGGACAGGCAGAGGCCGGGAGGGCCAAGGACAGCGAGGACGCTCCTGCCCTGAGCTGAGCAGATCAGCGGCCCCGCCCCGGAGCCTCCAGGCCCTGCAGACGGAGAGCCGAGAGCCCCGAGCCCCGTAGTTCCTGCGGAGGCTGAATCCAGGCTTCCAGAGTTGCCATAGCAACTGAGGCTGTTCCTCCTGGGGCCCCACGGGGTAAACAACCCCCGCTGAGCCCGGCAGCAGGCAGGGGCAGAGCAGCTCCCCCAAGTGCTAACACCTGAAAATCAGCACAGCAGGCCCCTCCCCCAGAAGACCAGCTAGACGGACCAGTGATACTCCCCCGTGTTCCAATACAACTTGTTTTTGGCCACTCTGCACTGAGCAAAATGACTAGAAGGAAAACCTCACCTCAAAAGAAAGAATCAGAAACAGCCCTCTCTCCCACAGAGTTACAAAATCTGGATTACACTTTAATGTCAGAAAGCCAATTCAGAAGCACTATTATACAGCTACTGGTGGCTCTAGAAAAAAGCATTAAGGACTCACGAGACTTCATGACTGCAGAATTTAGATCCAATCAGGCAGAAATTAAAAATCAATTGAATGAGATGCAATCCAAACTAGAAGTCCTAACGACGAGGGTTAACGAGGTGGAAGAACGAGTGAGTGACATAGAAGACAAGTTAATGGCAAAGAGGGAAACTGAGGAAAAAAGAGACAATCAATTAAGGGACCATGAAGACAGATTAAGGGAAATAAATGATAGCCTGAGGAAGAAAAACCTACGTTTAATTGGGGTTCCCGAGGGCGCCGAAAGGGACAGAGGGCCAGAATATGTATTTGAACAAATCCTAGCTGAAAACTTTCCCAGTCTGGGAAGGGAAACAGGCATTCAGATCCAGGAAATAGAGAGATACCCCCCTAAAATCAATAAAAACCGTTCAACACCTCGACATTTAATAGTGAAGCTTGCAAATTCCAAAGATAAAGAGAAGATCCTTAAAGCAGCAAGAGACAAGAAGTCCCTGACTTTCATGGGGAGGAATATTAGGGTAACAGCAGACCTCTCCACAGAGACCTGGCAGGCCAGAAAGGGCTGGCAGGATATATTCAGGGTCCTAAATGAGAAGAACATGCAACCAAGAATACTTTATCCAGCAAGGCTCTCATTCAAAATGGAAGGAGAGATAAAGAGCTTCCAAGACAGGCAGGAACTGAAAGAATATGTGACCTCCAAACCAGCTCTGCAAGAAATTTTAAGGGGACTCTTAAAATTCCCCTTTAAGAAGAAGTTCAGTGGAACAATCCACAAAAACAAGGACTAAATAGATATCATGACATGATGTCACTAAACTCATATCTGTCAATAGTAACTCTGAACGTGAATGGGCTTAATGACCCCATCAAAAGGCGCAGGGTTTCAGACTGGATAAAAAAGCAGGACCCATCTATTTGCTGTCTACAAGAGACTCATTTTAGACAGAAGGACACCTACAACCTGAAAATAAAAGGTTGGAGAACCATTTACCATTCAAATGGTTCTCAAAATATACCCTAAAAACTATAGAACACTTCTGAAAGAAATTGAGGAAAGAGATGGAAAAATATTCCATGCTCATGGATTGGCAGAATCAATATTGTGAAAATGTCAATGTTACCCAGGGCAATTTACACGTATAATGCAATCCCTATCAAAATACCATGGACTTTCTTCAGAGACTTAGAACAAATTATTTTAAGATTTGTGTGGAATCAGAAAAGACCCCGAACAGCCAGGGGAATTTTAAAAAAGAAAACCATATCTGGGGGCATCACAATGCCAGATTTCAGGTTGTACTACAAAGCTGTGGTCATCAAGACAGTGTGGTACTGGCACAAAAACAGACATATAGATCAATGGAACAGAACAGAGAACCCAGAAGTGGACCCTGAACTTTATGGTCAACTAATATACGATAAAGGAGGAAAGACGATCCACTGGAAGAAAGACAGTCTCTTCAATAAATGGTGCTGGGAAAATTGGACATCCACATGCAGAAGAATGAAACTGGACCACTCTCTTGCACCATACACAAAGATAAACTCAAAATAGATGAAAGATCTAAATGTGAGACAAGATTCCATCAAAATCCCAGAGGAGAACTCAGGCAACACCCTTTTTGAACTTGGCCACAGTAACCGGAGAAGGACAAACAGTGTATGTTCTCATCATTTGGGGAATATGAATAATAGCGAAAGGGAATATAAGGGAAGGGAGAAGAAATGTGTGAGAAATATCAGAAAGGGAGACAGAACATAAAGACTTCTAACTCTGGGAAATGAACTAGGGGTGGTGGAGGGGGAGGAGGGTGGGGGGTGGGGGTGAATGGGTGACGGGCACTGAGGGGTACACTTGACGGGATGAGCACTGGGTGTTATTCTGTATGTTGGTAAATTGAACACCAATAAAAATTAATTTATAAAAAAAAAAAAAAAAGAAAGGCAGTTGGTTATACTATTATAAAATAATGATACCTATACAATTTAAAGGTGCAGGGGACAGGCTAGCAGATTTAACTTAAAGAGTAGAAAAAATATGTAAAATTTGGGGATGTACTGAATTCTATGCAGATTTTTAAATATATATATATAAACTATAAGAAAAATGAACTCTAAACTACAAAACATTTAACAGTTTAAATAATACAGAATATAGCGATAATGCTCATACAATGACCTCAAAGGTTTCTCAAAGGCAAAACTGCACTTCTGAAAAATTATCATTGGGATTATTCTTAAAATTATCTTTATTTCACAATTCACAAATAAAATAATCTTAAGGTTATTATATTATAAATGTGCTTTAACTCCAGCAAAACTACATATTGCTCATTCCACATATGGAATTTCAATTTACTGCTGGGCAAGTTATTTGACCTCTCTGTATTTCAGTGTCATCAGTGTTAAAATGTAGTAACAAAACCTACCTCAGAAGGCTGTTTTGAGAATTAAATGAGTTAGCACATGTAAAATGATCAGAACAGTACGTAGCCAATAGAAGTTATCATTTTAATTTTATATGCCCTGTTGGGTATATTACGAAACATGAGATGAAGCAAACCAGTAATATTCCTCAAACTCAAGATGTTTGGCTTTAAAGAAAAAAAAAAAGGCTCAGCAAAACCTAAAGGCTAGAAGCCTTTAAAAGTGCTTTCTAAATCAACTTCCTCATTTTCCCCCTCATTGTCAGAAATTATATAGTTTCCGGCCTTCCCTTATTCTTCCATCCCAACAGCAACATCCAAATTGAAACAATTACGGGCAGCTCTGGTGGCCCAGTGGTTTAGCGCTGCCATCAGCCTGGGGTGTGATCCTGGAGACCCTGTATTGAGTCCCATGTCAGGCTCCCTGCATGGAGCCTGCTTCTCCCTCTGCCTGTGTCTCTGCCTCCCTCTCTCTCTCTGTCTCTGTCTCTCATGAATAAATAAATAAAATATTTTTTTAAAAAATTGAAACAATTACTAAAATGAAAGAGGGGAGAAGGAATGTATAGCATGTAAGTACACTTACTTAGTCTGTGACGTAATAAGAAGGTATTAAAATGGTGATATTAGGGGGATCCCTGGGTGGCTCAGTGGTCTAGCGCCTGCCTTTGGCCCAGGGCGTGATCCTGGAGTCCCAGGATCCAGTCCCGCATCAGGTTCCCTGAATGGAGCCTGCTTCTCCCTCTGCCTGTGTCTCTGCCTCTCTCTCTCTCTGTGTCTCTCATGAATAAATGAATAAAATCTTTAAAAAAAAAATAAAATGGTGATATTAAAAAGTTTTTCAAAAAATAAAAAGTTTTATTTCCAGGCACAAACTAAGTCTATCTCAATCAAACAAAGAAATATGACTTCCTCTAAAAATTGTGGGTTTTTTTTTTGGGGGGGGGAGAGAAATTTCTCATGGGTACTGTGAAGAAACACAACTACATCTTTAAAGTTCCCTTCAGCTCTAAAATTCATTGAATCTATGATTATGGGAAGCCTTAGGAAGCAAAAACTGGGAATTGAAAACAAAGAATTCACTTGTGTTGGAGTAAATACAGTTTGATGTAAAGATATATTAGTGGCTTTTTTATTTCTTAAATCAAAAAATATGTATTTCTTATGGAATAGTTTTTAGTCAAATACTGTTTAAGTCTCAGATACTTTCTATTTTTAATCTTTATGAAGACTATACTGCTACATAATTTACACAGGAAATTGAATCATAAAACCTTTTATAAAGAGAGCTTTAGAGAAAGAGCAATGAAAACACAGTTATTCAAAACCTCATACCAAACAATTTTAGAGTAATTTTTTAAATTGTCATTTTTAAAAAATCAAAACCATAACAAAAAATAATTATATCAATGTAAGATACCTATGTTTCGTAGAATTTCGACAAGTTTTTCTCTTTTTGAGTACTGGCCAACTTGGAGAATGGTCTGCTGAACATCTCTACATGCTCCACCCACTTGTCCAACAGCAACAAACAAATAATTCGACTTTAAAAACTCCCCAGCCAACCTTCAAAGACAAAAGATTATTCCTTAACTTATCTTCTTCCATTAATACTTGTTAATATTCACTGAATTTCTGCAAGTGTTACTTCAATATTAGATTGTAACAATTATAATAAGATAAAGTAAGTAACTTATGTCATCCAAGTACTAATTCCAAAGATCAGTATAAAATGTTAAGATTTTATAAAATATTCAATAACTGTTAGTGAAAAAGTTTGCGTCAAATTATGGATACAGTCATTTCAAGTCGATGTGGTAGTCATGCAAAACTATATAAAATGCGTACGTTATAATAAAAAGTATGCTTAAGTATCAGGCTACAACAAAACAATTTTTGTTAAAAAACTAAAATGCAAGCCTAGAGCACAAATTCTGTTCTTCACAAATGCTTCTATGTATGTTACTGCTAAGAGTTTATTTTCTTATAATATTATTTGTTAAATTACTATACTTTGAACAATTATGAGCAAACCAATCCTAGGTCAGTGCTTTTTGTATCATGACACATATAAAAAATGATAATATTTATAGAGCATAACTGAGCAAAAAAGTCAGGAGGTGAAGGGTCCTTGGGCTGACGCTCACTCAAAAGGTTAAGGGTATCAGCATGTAGACACACACGTGATTCACTGACAGCAAACAATTAAGGTCTGCTTTAGATCATCTAGAAACATAGGAAAGGGAGAAAGGGAACTGCCAATCAAATAGTTTAGCTTTCTGAGAATAAGGAGGAGGTCTAAATCTATCATCACTCCTCTTCTCTCCCATTTAGCAGTTCCTTACTTTCTAGCTGTCTCCTAAAATATCATAAAAATAGTTCAAACTCATCATTTCCAGAATTTTAATAAATCACTGCTGCTTCTTTCGCATCTGCTCTTACAATAAAAGAAAAAGAAAAGCTTCTTTTTTTGACATCCCTCCTTCTAGAGTCAAGCACCTTCTCAAGCACAAATCTCAAAATCATCTGCAATTCTTTATTATCCATCATCCTTTTCATTTGATAAAACATTCAGTGAGTATCTGTGGCAGGCACATATGGCGTAAGGTACTGCAAGGACAAAGATGGATATGATGGTCTCTGCCACTGAGATACTTGCATCAACAGGATAAACAGTTATATAAAAAATAATTACTATATTTTAAAGTGTTTAACGTTTTAATATTTGCATAATCATATATTAAACATTTTAATATTTAATATATTCAATACAATATTTTAGTTTTAATAATTAACATCTACTGAACACATACTATATTCCCAAAAATGTTCAGTATTTAAAATAGTTTCACAAATATAAGGGCAGGAGATGGATGAGATGAGGTATATTTAGAAGAATCTTCAAAGTATGAACCTGGATCTGAGCAACAGCAAGCAAGAATGTAGAACGGTGGTGATCAGGGGAAAGCATTCTAAGCAGAAAGAAAGAAGAAGCAAGAACAGATAATGAGGAGGGACAGAATTTGGCCTGATTAGCCAACAAGAAATACATGATTCCAAGTAATAAAGTAGCAGATGAAGCAGATTACATCACGTTTAGAGTTTGAAAGCTGGTTAGTCTGTGGAGATGTGAAAACAAGGTAAGGTTTATTTTGAATAAATGTCTAAAAATCCCAGACTTTATTTTGGAATTACTAACACAAAATTGAGATTAGTCAAGGGAGACAGGTTAGAAAGCTACTAACATGAGCAAAGGAAAACCAAAAAGGACTTAAATTAAGGTGGGAAACAGAGGAGAAATGAACAGTTTTGAAATATTTTAGAGATAACTACCAAAATGACTAATTTTTGAAGGGCAGAAAGTTAAAGCAATGTGAGGAAGGAATCAATACGATTCAAAGGATTTTGGCTTAGAAAGACCATGCTGCCAATAAGGAAAACTGGATAGGAAAGAGGGTACTGAAGAACAGCTTCCACTTTAGACATAATGAACATTAGTTACTGGTAATTCTTCTAAGAAAATACTCTTAAAGAGTTAAATTCTTAAGTCTGGCACTCAGGAGAGAGATTAGAGACACAAGTAATAAATTTCAGACAGTTACAGAAAGAAACATAAGCCGAAGAAATGGATGCTGCAAAGGTTTAGTCAATATGCACAATGACAAAAGTGTACTTTCAACACGATAATGGGCAGCCTGTAACATTTAAAAGCAGAGAGTAAAGCAAGTGAGGAGTCCTCAGCTCAGGTCCTCTATTCTGTTTATCATATATCCCCAGGACTTATAATCAAATATGGCTCATAAAAAACCCTCAACAAATATTAGTGATGAGAGCACACATTAGTCACTTTAGCCAATATCCAAATACCTTCCTATTTCAGGGCAAATCAAAAAACAGGCAGCAGAATATTACCTGCTATTTAGATAGGTAATTATCTACCCACTATTAATTGTCAAATATGATGATGGAAATGTAGATAACACTTTTCAAATTTAAGACATCATTTAATATAAGAAGCTATTATTTTATGTGCTACTAAAAACAAAAAGTCCTGATAATTCTTCCTTATAATTTATACTTTCTCCTCCAAAAAACAGCTTTTTAATATTACATAAAGACTTTTTATAACATCCCTTAAGTAAACCAAATCAATAGCCAGCCCCCACTATCTGATGACTTGAGAAGTATTGATCCCATGTAACATTGTATCAGACAAGGAGGCAGTTTACAGCAAAAGAGATAACTGAGCATGCCCATAACCATAAGGTTGGTTTATAGGTCGTATCATATCACAACACCCAGAAGCTGTCAGCCTCACAGAAAGTGGAATATATTCTTAAAGAACAGCTCAAAGGCCAACTTAGTGTTTCTTTACAAGGACAGCACATCATTCAACAAGGCACAGTGACTTTCAATCAGAAATCTTTATATCATGCATTTGGTCTGAGAGCCAAGGGGTGCAAGCAAGAGTGGCCCCCTTACCATCCCTCCCAGTGACTCACATAAGAAATCTGTTCCCCACTAAGCTATAGGTATGGAAGTATGGAGGTCGCGGTTCCCCAAGAGAGAAAAGTTCTGTCAGAGTTAAAAGCAGGAGTATTAGTGAATTACAAGCTCAAGCTGCTGTCTGGTCACTTGAGGCACCTTGTGGCCAAGGGAGCAGCAAGCAGGAAGAAGAGTCACAATTCTAGAAAGGGTGTGTCATCCTAATCTGAGAATTCACCAAGCCATAGAGTATATATAGTAAGATACTCAATACATGTCAACAATTGGTACATGAATTTTCTAAAAAGGCCCAATTCTCCCAAGCTCTATGATTTTGAAGAGAAGGCATAAATATAAAAATAACTCCATTTAGTAAGCACTAATTAAATCCTAGGTAGGTGCTGTGTAATCACACACACATACACATTTTAATAAAATGTGACACTAATGGACAGCCAAAGATAAAGGCAAAAAACAATGAAAAATATAGTACATTTTTTAGGAATACATCCACTTTTTAAAACTATGTTAAAATCTTAAAGTAAAAAAAAAAGCTCTTAAAAATAATATATTTGAATTGCTTTTCCTTTCACTAAACCATTTATATACAAAACAATTATTTTTAAGAAGAAAAAAATGTCACCTTTGAATTTCTTCTGGAAAAGTTGCACTAAACATAAGGGTTTGACGTTGTTCCTTTGATGGCATTCCAGGGCAGGAAATTAACTTCTTCATTTCTGGTCCAAAACCCATATCCAGCATGCGATCAGCTTCATCCAAAACTAAGTATTTGACTTGTCTGAGACCAATCTTTAAGAATATTTGCAAGAGTTAGAGCAGAAAATGCATACTAGTCAATATATTAAACTACAATGTTCTCGACCATTCCAATTACTAATTTATTCATAGGCATGAAGATTAGAAATCAATGCATAAAATAATGAGAACCGTTATGCTTAGATAACAACAGTACTCTTAATCTCAGTATTGATGAATCTTTGATCTTCACTAACATGTTAGCCATTAGCCATATGTAACTATTAAGTACTTGAACCATAGCTAGTATGCCTAAAGAACAATTTTTTATTTTATATCATTTTAAAATTTGTATAGCCACATGTGGCTACTACCATACTAGACTACATACTAGATCTTATTATCTGATAAAGTCAGACTTGAAATTTCCTAACAGCATGACATATTCAAATGTCTTTTAAGTGGTAAATTAAGCTCTAACACTTAACTCTTCATAAATTCTCCATTTCTCAAAAAAAAATTCTCCATTTCTCTAATCACTTAGGAACGAATGAAAAACTTCTGTCATTTGTGCATGAACACTTATTACTAGAAAGAGAAGCAGACATTTTCAAGGAAAAGAAATGAATTTGGCACAACCATGTAAAGTTATCTAGTGAGAAATCAAGGTGAATTTCTCTGGATAGTCTGAATAAGTATTCTAAGAAAACTACTTTTATGAAGACAGACCATGTTTTGAGTAATCTCTTTAGAGAAGAGCCTAAAAAAAAGCAAATGAGGTTCATCAAAGTAGACTTAAAGCACTGACTTAATGAATAGGTATATGAATACCTAAAATAAGTACATAAGCCTAAAATGTCTTTTTAAAGACTCAGAAGTTTAATAATCCTGGCTAACATCATTCCTGGGCTTTAACAGGAGACAAAACTGCTGTTACCACCAGGCTTTCTTTCAGGAAGAAAACATATCACAACTTATATGAAACTATATAGAATCATTTACTCCATTTTTCCTAGTGTGGTGGAGTATAAGATACCAACCTGAGTCAGATCCAGATTCTAATCCTAGCTCTACTGCTAGAGGTACCTGAGGGACTTCAAATAAATTATATAATCTCACTCATTGTCTTCTCTTTTTTTTTTTTTTACTCATTGTCTTCTCAAATACAAAAATAGGAAATACTATTTATCTCCTATTGGAATTATTTTAAGAATTATGTTAGAATGCATGCAAAGAGTGGTTCCTGGGTGGTGCAGTTGGTTAAGCATCCAGCTCTTGGTTTTTTGCTCAGCTCATGGATTCAGGTTTGTGAGATGAAGCCCCTTGCTCAGCGTGGAGTCTGCTTAAGACTGTCTTTCCCTCTCCTTCTGCCCCTCCCATCCCATGCTCATGCTCTCTCTAAAATAAATAAATCTTAAAAAAAAAAAAAGAATGCATTCAAAGAATCTGATGGAGGTTAACATAAATTGTGCTCTAATAAATAAATATATCCCTTTGCATCATTCTTTCCTGTCCCATACAAAAAAATTATTAATCAATCCATAATTTTATTAACTTGTATAAGGCCTACCTTTTCTTTACCTATGATATCCATCAGTCTCCCAGGAGTAGCGCACAATATATTACAGCCTTGTACTATTTGTCGAATTGAATACCCCAACTGGGTTCCTCCGTATATAACAACAGCTCTTACACAGGTCCTATTAACAAGAAAAATTCATGTTATTTTCTAGTTATGTAAAAATTATATATTTGTTTCTAACAAAATATGAAAACAAATCCATTAAAGTAAAAAACTAATACATTCAAGTATCTAAAAAATTAAATTATTCCTCGGAAGAAGCTGAAAAGCAAATGATAAATAATGGGGAAAAAAAAACCTAAAATCTATCCAATAAAGGGCTCTTCAAAAACAATAGTAAACACCAATACCACCTACATACAAATTGGCCAAAGACATTAACAAGTGGTTAATAAAAAATACAAATGGCTTTTAAATATTTGTTTAAAGTCAACATCACTTTAAAAATGAAGACAAATGAAGACTAACACATTTTTCCTGAACTGTAGTAATGCCATGTTAACCATGGTGTGGGAAAAGTGGCACTCAAATGGATAAACTGAAACAGGCTCTTTCACAATTTTAATCTCTTTTAAACTTTAAAAACTTCTCAGTATGCCTAGGTGGCTCACTGGTTGAGCATCTGCCTTCAGCTCAGGTTGTGATCCCAGGTCCTAGGATTGAGTCCCACATCCGGCTCCCTGCAGGAAGCCTGCTTCTCCCTCTATGTCTCTGCCTCTCTTTCTGTGTCTCTCATGAATAAATAAATAAAATCCTTTTTAAAAGAAAATAAAATTTAAAAACTTCTCTGTCCCAATAAACTCATACGTATGAATTTACCATTCAGATATGTCCCCACAAAGGGGAAGGCTGACTTTACAGTAATATTCCCTGCCATCTTTATTTATAGCATCAAGAGACTGAAGATTAAGTATCTAATAGTAGAAAAACTAATTATAGTCCACTCATCCAAAGGGATACCATGCATTCATAAAAAGAAAAGGGGTATAGTTCCAGATTAAGCATTATCTCCAATATTTACTACTGAAAAAAAAGAATAACAATAGCTTAGTATGCTACCATCTGCTAAGAAGAGTATTAAAGTGCATACATGTGCACCAGCTATTTCTACACTAAATCACACAAAATTATAAAGAGTTCACTTTAAAGAGGAGAATTAAATAAGTGAAGGGAAAAAGAGTACAGGACAATTTTATGGTTTTTTTTTTAAGTTTATTTATTTATTTAAGTGATCTCTACACCCAACATGGGGCTCGAGCTTTTGACACTGAGATCAAGAATTGTATGCTTGGGGCTCGTGGGTGGCTTAGTTGGCTACGTGTCCAATTTGTAATCTGGCTCAGATTATGATCTCATGGGTCATGAGATCAAGCCCTACTCAGGCTTGCATTGAGCGTGGAGTCTGCCTGAGATTCTCTCTCCCCCTCCACCTCTGCCCCTCTCCCCTCTACTGTACACTAGCATGTGTGTGCTCGCTCTCTCTCAAGTGAATAAATAAACCTTAAAAAAAAAAGTTGCATGTTCCACTGAATGAGCCAGCCAGGGACCCCCAAAACTTTATGTTTATTAAATAAACTCATTATTCTAAAAGAATTCTTTGGAAAAAAAAAAGAATTCTTTCTTTTCTCCTATTGCTAGGCCTAAATAAGGTAGTACATATAAAATACTTGTAACTTAGCAAATGCTAAGGCTTCAATAACTTAGTTATTACCATTATTATTCTAAGGGTACCATAACTTAACTAGGTCTTGAATGATAGACATTTTGATACTTTTCAGTCTTCTGCCACAACATTACAACAAATTTCCATGTACAAATATTCATTTTGTGCATACATATTATTTGAATTTACCATGCACATGTTTTCATTTCTTTTAAAATATGGTATTTTTTTACTTGATTTAAAAACCTAAAAGCAACATAGTACACAAGGACTATCAAGAAAAAACACTGGCCAAAGCAATACATATCATCCACCTTTTCCAAAAAAGTCTGTTAAGCTTGACATTAGATTTTTAATAACTTTAGTTTTTCTTCTCATTTTAAAATAAACTGATTCTAACTTGGTGATGGGCACTAAGGAAGGCACATGATGGGATGAGCACTGGGTGTTATATGTTGGCAAATTGAATTTAAATATTTTTTAATAATATAAAAAGTAAAATAAACTGATTCAAGGGGCACCTGAGTGGCTCCGTTGAGTATCCAACTTTTGACCTCACCTCATGTCTTGATCTCAAAGTCATGAGTTCAAGCTGTCATAATGGGCTCCAAATAAAATAAAACAGATTCACAGAAAATAAAATGTAAACAATTTCTACATAGAAAGCTCTAAAGAAAAAACTGCGAAAACATTAAGATCCTATCAGATAAAGTGGTAAATAACAATGTTTAATTAACAAAGAAAAATTTATTAAGCATTCCAAAAGTAGTTCAACTCTTAATAATCAAATAAATGGAAAAAATGAAGATGCTGTGGTGGTTTTAAACTATATACACAAAGCTCTTCCATATTCTTTCCTTTCTTCAAATATATATCCTTTCCTCCCCTTAAGGGTGTGTGTGCAAGGCTGGCTTCATAGGTGTGCAACCTGTGCAGTCATGTAGGGTCCCAAGATAAGAAGAGCCCTTAGCTTGATTTAATGCTTTAATTCTTATGAATTTTAAGTCCAGAATGGACTCTGCATTTTCATTTTGCACTGGTTCCAGCAAGTGACATATGTAATCCTGAGTATGGGGAAGACTTAGTAATTTGCTGAGTGATGAACACAATATGGCAGAAGTGACTGAGACTGTTTTATAAGGCCACTTATAGCTTCCTCCTTGCTCTTTCTCATTCATTCTCTAAGCAAGCCAGCTGTCACTTCCTAAGGACAACCAAGGATCCTTATAGGAGAGGTACAGTCAAGCCTTCAGATGACTACAACTGTGGCTGGTACCTTGTCTGCAGTCTCATGAGAGACCTCAAGCAAAAGCACTCAGCTAAACTGTTTCCCAATTCCTAATCCCCAGTAATCATTTTGAGCAACTAGGTTTTAGGTAATTTATTAGGTAGCAATAGATAACATAATACAAAATGTTGGCAAAATGTGTAGTGAAATTGGCATTCTTATATACTGCTGATAGGTATATATTGGTGAAAGTTTTGAGTTCATACCCTTTAACATTAAATTTTTAAAAACCTACTCTAAGGAAATACTTAAAACATAAAAATAAAGTTTATTTAGCCAGCTATTCATTATAATTTTATTTCTAGTAGGTCCCAAACTAGAAACCTAAATGCCACAAAAGCAGAGAAATAAAATACACACACATAAACAATCTTAAAATGATAAAAAATTTGGGTGATTATAAGCCTCTTATATATCACGAAGTTGTATGTAAACATTATTATTAGGAACACCCAAAATGCATTATACATACATTCAAAATACCAGAAAATATGCCACCAATATGTTCGCTACTTTATCAACCTTCTATTACCATTGATTTTTTTTTAAGATTGTATTTATTTATTCATGAGAGACACACAGAGAGAGGCAGAGACACAGGCAGAGGGAGAAGCAGGTTCCATGCACAAGCCCAATGCGGGATTCAATCCCAGGACCACAGGATCACGCCATGAGCCAAAGGCAGATGCTTAACCGCTGAGCCATGCAGGCATTCCTACCACTGATTTTTAATATGCATATTTATTTTTAAAATATAAGCATGTTTCTTTTAACAATAAAAATAAATAGGGAATTCCATAAAGAAGACTATGAAGAAGTACACTTAAATCAAGTAACACTAATTACACGACTACACTGAGTTCTTCCCAAAATATGTGAAAAAAATCTCTACAGAAAAACTTGTTTTGAGTGGCATTCCAGATGTACATACCCAAAAGAAAATTTTCTGGCTTCCAGATAAATCTGATTGATCAATTCTCGAGTTGGTGCTACAATAATACACTCTGGTTCCTGCAGCTCTTTAAAACGACTGGCTGTTATTCCATCACGCATCATATGTGCCAAAATTGGCAAGAGAAAAGCTGCCTAGAAGTTGAATTACATAATTTACAAATTTTTTAATACATCATCCTTCTCCCTGTAGAAGTAAATGTATCCCTTACTCCCTTACAGCCTCTATATTCTTCTTCCACCTTGCCAATAAATTTAAAATGAGAGAGGAAAACAATTTTTATTTCAGTGAATATTTAACTCTTTAGCTTTTATGCTCACATCATACAATATAAAATGACAGGTATTTTTCCGTTAATTGAAAAGCACATCATACCCACCAATTCTAAATAATTAACTTTAACTTATTTACAGAGGATAATGTACACATAACCTGTTACAAATCACTGCACTTAGCAATTATTCTAAATGAATTCCTTTTGGAGTAGAGATAAAATTCTCAGACTGCCTGCCAAAAGTGGTACACAAACAACAAAAATTGGGAAATCAATCATTTGGATTACCCACGCTTAGTCAAGTTACTGTGGCAGAAGAAATTTTGTGCTACAGTTTTTCTCATTAAGCAAATTAGACACTAAAATCTACCTCCAAAATCATGTGTAAGTCATACATCAGCTGCTGTATTATACAACTCATTTATTATCCCTTCAACTCTACTACAGAGGCTGATTAAAACCAAAGAGCATGAACTACAGTTCTATGATTCAGAAAAGACAGTCTGTCATTAAGACTCATCTCAAGAACCCTACTTAACAGACAGATTCCAGAGGTAAGTCCTAAGAGCAACCTGATCTCATCAGTCTTTTAGATAGCATAACCTGAAGTTACTTCATATTAAAGACCAGGTGCAATGCATATTGCTATTTCTCATTCTTTTGACTCCAAAATTTTATCCACTTTATTATGTAACTTATTTTCTCTCTTTCTCTGCATTTCATAACCTCTGGTGCTTTGACCCTCAATCATTTTTTTTGAGGGGGGGAGGGACAAAGACAGAGGGAGAGAGAGAACTCCAAGCAGGCTCCACGCCCAACACAGAGTCCAGTGAGGGGGCTCAATCTCATAACCTTGAGATGATGACCTGAGCTAAAATCAAAAGTCAGACACTTAACCAACGGAGCCACCCAGGCACCCCTCAATTGTTTTGTTTTAGATACTAACATGTTCCAGAAGGAGTTGTCTTAAAACAGACTAAACATCTATGAACTTCAACATTGCTCCAGAAACAATTCAAAATTCTTTTTTTAGAAGTACACAAACCCCAATAAAACCAGAATTCAGAAGCAAAATTCAGTATGACAGGACATCAAAATCATCAGCCTTCCATCCAACAAAAAATATTCAAACTACTTCATAAGAACTAAAGTTCAAAAACTGCTAATAGTTTGATTATGGGGCAGAATACATGTGGGAAAAGGACTTACAGTCTTTCCAGATCCTGTCTGAGCACAAGCCATCAAATCTCGTCCTGCTAATATAATAGGAATACTGTATTTTTGCACAGGAGTAAGCTTAGTATAACCAGCTTTAGCAATGTTGTTATTCAGTGTCTGACAGAGATTAGCTTCCTCAAAAGTCTAAAACAAAAAGGGGAGGAATATGATTAAATTTCATATATCCTATGCAGATCATTCCATAAACTTCTTTCATTTGAGTTAGTCTCAAGTTTTTGTTAATTCCACTTTATCTACTAAAGTTACTTTAGCAATACGCCCCTGCACAAAAGTACTATCTAGAGCCTGTATATTATTTCTTGATGGAATTAAAGAATATTCTCTGTAGATACTAGTTCTAAAGACATTTTTTTCTGGCCTCTTAAAACCTGTGAAATACAAACACAATGATCATTAACCAGAGAGGACTGAAGGCACCAACCAACTCCTTAGAATATCATTCTCCTAAGGGAGACTTTTCTTATATACTTAGGAAGCAGAAATCTTCAATCTCTAGGAAAAACACCCTTTTTAGTAAATTTAAAGGAAGTTCTCTTACTAGTTTGGGAATGTGGGATGAAATTTAATACTCTTTCAACATAGCCCTTAATTCCATAAGTAATACATGGTAGATATGTCTCAATTTATAACCTAAACCATTATATGTGAAAAAATGAAATTTTTGTATTAATATCAACTTACAAAAATATACTATATATTTTATACATAAAGTTTGCTATATATTCAATACATAATTATTATACTGACCAGAATTGCTGGTGGTGCATCATGTCCAGATACTTCTACAAGAATAGTATCATATTTGTCAAAGTTTATGCCTGTCTGATAATGTGCAAAGATGGAGTCCTCATCCTCAGGTGGAGGAGGTGGTATGTAGGTAACCTTTGGTCCTTAGAATTCAAATAAAAGATAGAGCTTACATTACAAGGATCAGAAGAAAATTAAGAGGGAAAACAAAACCTGAAAATCAAATTTTAAATACTGAAGAACTTCCCAATGTTTACCATTAAAGTTTTCACTTCAAATAAAAAAAAAGGTTAACTCTGTTCTTATTTTTCATTTTTATTATAATGCAACAGACGTTCATGTGGTTCACACAAAAATTAATATACCTTGAGTGTCACCACTTTCTCCTCCTTCAGCTTCCGATTTCCAAGAATCTTAAAGGGAATCAAACCAGAGATAAATATATTTTTATTTGAGGGGTGAAAGAACTTTCACTGTAAAAATCAAATACCTTATCTAAAATAAAACTTACTTTTTCCAGAGCTTGTTATTACTTCTTCATTTAAACCTTTGTAACCACCTAATTAAAGAAATCCATATTGACAATTAATCAAGATACAAGGCTGTGCACCTCTTTATTTTCATTGCTTATCTTTAAAGAGAACAAGTTCTAAAAATGGACAGACATTTTTAAAGTCCTTCATACAAATAAGACAATTAAGACAGAATTCTTAACTATTTTAAGTTTCTTTAATATTCAAAATGCTGATTTTATGTAAATTTTACTGTTTCATACTACTAGTTTTTACTTAAGCTGCTCTGTCCCTTTCCTCATTTCTATATTCCTCAGCAAAGGAATGCATTTTTTTAAATGAACTAAAAGTCCATCTGTATTGGGTTGTATGATTGTTGTATCATACCATTCCCAGGTTGTATGATTTAGCAGGACTCAGAATAGTCATACACACAGCTATGATTTATTACAGTGAAAGGAAAGGGAGAACGAGCATGGGGCAAAGTCCAGAGTTAACTAGACACAAGTTTCCAAGAGTCCTCTCCCACTGGTGTCATACAGGATACACTTAATTTCCCAAGCAACAAGTTGTGACAACATGTTAAAAATGTTGCCCACCTGAGAAGCTCATTAGAGACACAGTACTCATGGTTTTTATTAGAGGTTGAAAATGTAGACATTTTCTGGTTGGCACATACTAATATTCCACACTCCTGAATGAAAAGCAAGTATTAAAACTACATTGTTGTACAAATACTCCAGACACAGTAAGCCACTCTTAAAACTAGTTGGGTGATGAGAACCCTTCCCAAATCCAATTTCCCAGATGCCAAGCAAAAAACAACCTTGTAAACAGGACATTAGAAGAATAGCAGTCAGCCCTGTCACGTTAACTCTTTTCCATATACTACCTTCATGGTTTTAGATAACTAGTTATCTATTAAAGTCACTTTCTGGCATTATCACAGAAAAGAGTAAGGACTGCATTCTATTTGAAAATCTAACTGGATATATTTTTACATGCAAGCTCTCTAACTTCCTTGTCCTGAACATCCACAGGTCTTGAAATCCTTTTCCCAACAAGATTTGAGCATTTGTAGATATAGTTTAACTAGCCATTAATAACCTCCTCCTATAATGAAGAATCTAAGAATCAAGGGGAGAAATAAAGACAGTTCCAGGGGGTCATCTATTTGAATGCTCTCAGACTACTAAAGATCACTGAGGATTTTTCAGAGACATCAAACAAGTTTTATTATTTTCCTAGTCTGGAAAGCATTTTAACTTTTGTATTATGAAATCTAAACATTTGTAACTCTGAAAAAATTTTTCATAGTACAAAATCATGTATACTGAAACTTTATGCCTTATGCCAAATTAAATAACTAACTCATGAAAAAGCATTGTTTTATTATAAGAACGTGTACATATAGACATATTTCAATCTTCAACATCTGGACAGTATCCCGTTTTATGGTTATATTATTTATTAAACCATTATTTGTCAATGAATTTTGGTTGCTTTTCAGGTTTTATTTATTATAAATGAAGCTTCGGTGAAAAACACCCTTGTGCATACATTGAGCAAATACATCTATGGTATATAATTCCTATAATGGAACTGTTACACTGAGGAGTATTAAATAACTCTCCAAAACAGGTGGAACAAATGTCTACTTCTCAAAGTGTATAAAAGCAGTAACTGTTACCTTTAACTTTAAAAATTAAGTTGAGATTCCATAATGTTAACCATTTATAGGTAAACCAAGTAAGAACTTACCTCGTCTACTTCCACTGCCACTTCTGCTTTGGTAAGTGTCACCATTACCTGTAATGCATTTTTTTGCAGATTATTTTGAGAAAACTCAGCTCATTTTTTTAAACACAGTTCTCCTTTTTTATTTAAATATTTTACCTATTTATTAGAGAGAGAGAGCGTGCAAGCACAAGTGAGTAGAGGGGCAGAGGGAGCAGCAGACTCCCCACTGAGCAGGGAGCCCAACATGGGGCTCTATCCTGGGACCTCAGGATCATGACCTGAGCTGAAGGCAGATGCTTAACTGACTGAGCCACCCAGGTGCCCCTATTGGGTCTTCCTTGAACATGTAAACCATATAGCTATTTCTATTCAAGTATTAAGTGTTGAGGATTCCTGGTCCCTTCATCTATCCATCTCTTAATTCTACATTTATTTTAAAACTTTTCTTCATTTGAACATTGTTCAAAGACTTCCTGGTTTGGTTTGGTTTTGTTTTTGAGAGTTTCGAGTTTACAGAAAAATTGAAGGAAAGGAACAGAGATTTCCCATATACCTGCTCCTTCCCCCATATTTGAAGAGCCTCCCTCATCATCAATATCCCCCATCAGAGTAGTACATTTGTTAAAGCTGATGAACTCAAGCTGACATGGCATAATCCAAGTTTACATTAAGGCTCACTCTTGATGTACATTCTATGCATTTGGACAAATATAAAATGACATGTATCCACCATTAATGTATCATATAAAGTATTTTCACTATCCTAAAAAATCCTCATGCAATTCATACCTCCCCACGACCCCTGGCAACCACTGATGTTTTTACCCTTCTCCAGAGTTGTTCCTTTTCCAGAACTTCATAAAGTTAGAACTTATACAGTATGTAGCCTATCCATATTGGCTTCCTTCACTTAATAACATGCATTTAGGGTTCCTCCTTATCTTTTCATACTTTGAAAGCTCATTTCCTTTTAGTGCTCAATAATATTCTATTGTCTTGATATACCAGTTTATCCACATTTGCACATTTTTATCAACAACTGTGGTTTTTTTGTTTTTCATTTTCTCCTCAAATCCCGTAACTCAGAGTTCTGTCTTTGAAACTATTGCAGGGACACCTGGGTGGCTCAGCGGTTGAGCTTCTGCCTTTGGCTCAGAGCGTGATCCCAGAGTCCCAGATCGAGTCCCACATCAGGCTTCCTTCATGGAGCTTGCTTCTTCCTCTGCCTGTGTATCTGCCTCTGTGTGTGTGTGTGTGTGTGTGTGTGTGTGTCTCATGAATAAATAAAATCTTTTAAAAAAAGAAACTAGAAACTATTGCAAATTTAATTTTCCTTCCCCCAAATAAAGCTATAATTTACACCTCAAATTAACTGGTAGATAAGAGAGAAGAAGTAATTCACAATGCACAATTTTGTAAGGAAGGCAAACTTGCCCATGAATTTTTGCCTGCTGGTCTAAAAAGCAGAGAAAATCATGAGCTAACCTAGTATACTTAAACATATTAGGTTACTAACTATAGAGCTAAAATCATATATAAATTATTAACATTCAATAAGAAATTCTATTTCTTACCTGCACCACTTAATACTGGTCTTCTAGAACCAAAAGGGCCACCAGTGCGCTGTGTTCCCTCATCTTGTTCATATTCCCTATCTATATTTGTACATAATAAAATGAGATTGTTACTTTTAAGAAGTTTTAAAACCATACAGCAAAGAAAAGAAAATCAAATTATAGTGCCAGAAATTAAAGATGTGAGGCAAAACAGTTTAAATTTTACAGGAATCAAAATGAGCATTCTTCTAAGTACCATACAAAGGACTTCTCCACAAACTATTTCTTTCAATTATAAATTACGTCCTCAAAGTTTTATTTTATTAAAATTATTTTATAAAAGAAGCTAGGGCCAATGCTATGTTAAAATAACATATAAGCAAAAGTTAAAGAACCTCCAAAAAGTAAACTGTTACTGCCCCCAAAATTTCAGAATTACATAATCTCATTACTTACTCTCCAGAATAGCACCCCCTTACTCCCACTGTTGCCAATTGAAAGCTTTCAAGTCCTGAACAACAACCCCTGGACCCCTACTCTTTTTTAAATGTGACAATTCACTAATCTCTTACACATTTATTAAATCATTATTACAAATTTAACTTCCAAAACCACTAATCTAACCATTAAGAGACAAATGCAATCCAACAGTGACATCTGAAGTCAATACCCCTAGCTCCAAGGAATGATGGCTGGAGTAATTTAAGGGAGAAAGCCACATTAGTAAATGTACAATGAGGGGTAGAAACTTAGAGAAGGCCATCTCTTTCTAAGCTTGGTCATCATCATCAGAGCTGTAAAACACTTAAATAAGATTAAAGAGCTGAGTCACACAAACTTCTAGAAAGATTCATATATTCCAACTAACAAGTATGCAATTAGATATGGGTCTAAAAAATAATGTTATATACAATGTAGGTGATTATGTACCAGTCTGCGAAGCTATTCTCATATAATCCTCTCAACAATATTATGTGTTAAGGAGGAAATGATGAAAAATAAAACCTAATAGATAAAGCACACCGTTTGTAATTCACTACTAACTTGGATTTCCTAGACCAAATCCTCCACGGCAACCTCGGAAACTACCTCTTCCACCTCTTCTAGATGACCCTGAAGCTTCTGAATCATTTCCATCTTGAAAGCCTATAGTATTAAAACACACACACAAAAAAAAACAATACAAAACAACAACAAAAATCTTGGAGAAATGGTGGCCAAATTTAATTTAAGCCATGCACATTTCAATGACTTTAAACATTTTAAGACATTGTTACTAAAAAGAAATGTCATATTTGACCTATAAGGGTTCAACTTAACTAACATAAACAAACATAGCTACAATTTAAAAAAAAAAAAACAATGCTTACTTTGAGAAAACTAAAAATGACTAGGGGTGGCTGGCTGGCTTAGTTGGTAGAATATGTGATCTTGGCTTCAGGGTCTTGAGTTTAAACCCATGTTGAGGGTAGAGTTTACTTAAAAAAAAAAAACTAAAAATGACTAAAAGGAAAAAGTGTCACTTGTAAAACAATGAAAGTTGCCACAGTTGGATCATTAACAAGATTTTTACAATGTAGAGAAGGATTAGATAAATCTATACTTCTATTTATTCTTTACAGAAAATAGTAAAACACCTTACTCAAAGCACAGATATATAGGCATATATAAAGTCTGATTTCCTGCTATAAATAATGTATTAATTCAACTGAATACCAAAAATCAGAATAAACAGCTCAAGTAAAATTTGATCCCACCTGCAGCAAAACAAGATCAATTCAAAACCAAAATGTCAACTGGGAAGAAAATAAGGAAACGGAGATTTAGTTTATGAACCCGTCACTATTTTACACCCAAAGAAACTGATCAATAAAGGTAAAAATTCTCCATATATTTCTTGATATTGAATTACATGGGTTTTTAAAACCTAAAGGGCAGACTTAATGTAAGGTAAATTCAAAGTTATACATCTACTACTTAAAACTTAGATTCCTCAATCTGGCAATAATCTTTTTGTCAATAATTATATCCACCTTTTAATTCTAATTTATTTGTGCCTCTTTATCTTTGAATAAACTTTGTTGGGGTTTATCTCTTTTAAGAGACAGTTTATCTTTTTGATCCACTTCTTTTTAAGGTATGTTACTTTGGTGTGTGAACATGAATAAAATATATAAAACATATGTATATGTGTGTGTGTGTGTGTGTGTGTGTGTGTGTGTATATACAAGTTTAAAAAATAAAATCAAAACCTATGGACTCACTACCCAGCTTAAAACAAAAAATTTTCAATACCTCTGGAGCCATGGATAGTCTTTTTCTCTATAATATTTCCCTTTCTTTCTCAACCAATATCCTAAATTATTTTTAATTTCCTTGCTCTTAATTTTACCAACTATGTATATATCTTTATGCAACATATTGGTCAGTTTTGTGTTTGAGCTTTATGTAATGGAATTATACAGAATATATTCTTGGTCCTGCCTCTTTAATCCACCTTTGTTCTTGTTGATTTGTAAAAATGTACTTCATTTTACTGTTGAATAATACTTCATTGTTTCTGTTTCATTCATGTTTATTATCTTTTTAACTGTTGAATAATACTTCATTGTTTCTGTTTCATTCATGTTTATTATCTTTTTAAGTGGCTTCTACTAAGTTTTTAATTACTTAAGTTGAACACTTAGCTCACTTCTTTTCTACTCCATATATTTAAGACTATAAACTTTCCTTAAAAAGTTAGCTGCTTAATAGGTTTTGATGTTTTTACTGCCAATTCAGTTCTAAATACATTATTACTGCCATATGAATTTTAATTCATAAATTGAAATTTTCAGTTTCCAAATCTCAAGGGTTAGGCTTTTCATTATGGATTTCTACTTTCATGATACTTTAACAAGAGGACACAGTTTGTGATAAATTCTGTTATATTTTGGGGCTACCTCTTCGCCTTAACTGATAGTAAAATTATAGTATTTTCCATATGCTGAAAAAGAATGTGTAATTTATAATATGGGGCATATTATTCCAAGCACAAATATTAAATCAAGCTTAATAAATGGTATTCAAAACTTCATAGATCTCACAGTCATAATCAATTCTGGTCTGCTTATTCTGTCAATTCTAAGGGAAAAATTATTTAAATCCAGGATTAGAGGTTTAACTAGAATTTGCAAATTTTTCCATATAATTATGTTTACTTTTACTTTAAATACTTAAAAATATGTTGTTAGATTTCAAGCCATGTTCCAAACTATAATAACTTCCCAGTAAACTTGACTTTTATCACTAAGTAATTATTTCTTTATTCTTAATATGTCTGCTTTAGAGTCTATTTTGTCTCCCATTTCTATGTCAGTTTATTGGGGTTAATATTGGACTGACATTTTTTTCTATTTTCAACTCTACATTGAAATTACATTTACTGTTAACATATGATTACTAACATATCCATTTTTTACTTCTATCATCCTATTTTGTGTTCTCCTTACCCTAAGTTTTTCAATGTATTTTGTTTTCCTTTCTGTCCTATCGATTTTCCAAATGCTGCATTTTATGTTTTTGCTTTATTCTCCAATTTCAGTATAAATAAGAAATATTTCTTTTCAGCCTTGTCTCCTTCCTCAAAGTCCTAGCCTTCTATTCTATTGGATTTCTTCCACTAGAAGGTTATATATTACATCCTTTTTCTTATTATCCTTCAATTCAACCATTTTTAAGAAATTCTGAAATTAGTTTCAATCTGTTCTCTTTCCTACTGAGTTGACAAAGAACTAAAGTATTTTCATTTGCTAGTATTTTAGTTATTTCTAAAACCCCTAAATTAATTTACATTACTACAATCTTCTAGAGTCAGACTTACTTGTTTACCAATATGTTTATCAATTTTAAAATGTGTGTTTATTTAGTTTTGCTCATCATTGCTTCCTACTTCTTTCTTGTTGCATTGTTTCTTTCCTGCTAATACCATAATTAAGTAGTTCTTTCCTCAGTGGCCTGACAGTACTCAACACCATCTTTATCTGGGTGTTTTCTGACACCTAAATTATCTGGATATAGCAGTTTGAATTCAGAACTACTCTCCCTCAGGATTCTAAATTCTACTCTATTATGTTCTCCACCTTTATGGGGAAAAAATTCTGCTCTCTGTTGTTCCTTTACAGGTGTATCTGTCTTTTTTCTCTGTTAGTTCTAATTATTTTTATCTTCGTAATTTTGCAATGTCAATATACAGATAAGGGTGTAATTTTTTTTTTCATTTGCTCAAGATTCTTGTACCTCCTTAACTCTGGAAAAGTCTATCAACTAGTCTCTGAATAGCCTTCTTTTCCCTGCTTCGCCTCCTCCCATTTTCTCTGTTCTCTCTTCAAGTGATACTTAGACATTTGTTAGAATAACAGAGCTACTTATTTTATCTCCCATATCAATTAAATGCTTTCGTGTTTTCCATTCTCAAATAGAATTTCCTCAGATCTTTGGATTCATTTATTCTACTCATCTTCGTTTAATCTGTTTAATCTATTATGTTTTCAATCAATAACTACTGCTTTCTGTAAATTCAATTTGGTGCCTTTTCAAAAATAGTTTCTCTACTAAGCAAATGACTATATAATGACTCCCTACCTCCAGTATCTATAGCTTTTAATTCCATACACAGGAGATACACAAACATGTAAATGAACATTCTCTTTTTTTCCCCAAAGCTTATGCCAGTTTCTAATTATATAAGGAGCCTAATAATTAGAGGTAAAAAGAACATGGATATCCTACAGAATTAAAATTCTGCATGACTTTCTGGTTAGAAGGTAGGGATAGAAACTCTACATATTCTACATGGTTTTAAAAATAATTTGTTTTTGGATGCCTGGGTGGCTCAGTGACTGAGCATCTGCCTTTGGCTCAGGTCATGATCCTGGGGTCCTGGGATCGAGTCCCACATTAGGCTCCCTATAATGTCTCTCATGAATAAGTAAATAAAATCTTTTTTAAGAATAGAAAATAATAAATTGACAAGGTAAGTAAAACATTATAAAAGTTAAAATAAATGAACTAGATCTATACTTCAACATATAAATCTTTAAAAACTTGGAATAAAAAGGTCACAAAAATGGGGGTTGGGGTGCCTGGCTGCCTTCGTCAGTAGAGCATGCAACTCTTGACCTCGGAGTATAAGTTTGAGCCCTACTGGGTACAGAGACTACTTAAAATCTTTAAAAAAAAAAAAATCACAAAAACTAGGTATAATAAACTTTTTAAAAGTATGAATAGGAGTATACACTACACACCAATGTTTTTAAAAAGTTACCTCTGGGAAAATGATATATAAAATACAGAGGGAAGGTGGGTCTTCCAACAATTGTGGATTTTTTTTTCTATATATGAAGTAACATATGACAAAAAGTTCCTGTTAAATCCAGGTAGTGGTCATACAAGTGTTTATAATAGAATATTCTGTGCTTTTCTGAGTTATTGAAATATTTCAAAATTTACTTTAAATGTCACTTTTCATAAAATAACATTAATATACTTTTAAAGGTGACATTAGTCCTTCCATGAAGTATATTCTGCATTTCAGAAGTGACAACTGACAATCTCTTGCAGCTCTTAAAAGAGTAATTTTATAAATCATTTAAACTTTGTGTAAACATGAATATTTCATTTCAAAAAGTACTTACCATAAATTTAGCGAGGTCACTCAACCTTCAATATACAAAATTCAATTTTATTTCTATATACTAGCAAACAAAATGAAAAATTTTAAATGATATAGATCACTAACATCAGCAAAAACTGCAAAGTGAGAAACTCCAAATTCTGCTTCTCCAAAAAAGAAAAAAAAAATGAACAAAAACTGTCAGAATTAACATTTTCCAAAATGAAAACTAATCAGGCTTGCAGTAATCCAGAGACTATTTTTTAAAAGCTGATTCTCTCAAAAAATAAATAAATTAATTAATTAATTAATTAATTAAATTAAATAAAAATAAAAAGCTGATTCTCAGTAAGAAACAGTGAACTCTGTGGCATATTTCAACTTACTTCAGTTCCATCTCCTGGCAATTCCACTTCTAGGCATATATTCAAAAGATGCAAAGACAAGGACTCAAACAGATACATATATATGAATGTTCACAGGAGCATTATTCACATAGCCAAAGTAAGTAAAAACCCCAAATGTTCATCGATAGATGAATGGATAAAATGTGGTATTATACATACAAGGGATAATTATTTAGCCATAAAAAGAAATGTTCTTTGTTCAAATACATGCTACAACATAAACAATCACTGAAAACATGCTAAGTGAATTAAGCCAGTCACAAAAGAGAAAATGTGTGATTCCACTTATATAAAATACCTAGAATAGAGGCAAATTCAAGGAAAACATAGAATAGAGTTTACCAGGAACTCAGGGAAAGAAAATAAAGGGACTGACTATATAATGGGTACAGATTTCTGCTTATGTTTCTGTTTCAATTTTGGAAACTGTGGTGACAATTGCACAACACTGTAAATGTACTTAATGCCATTAAATTTAATTAAAATGGCAGATTTTATGTCATAGTTATTTTCTCAAATTTGACAAAAAATATTAATTCCCACATCCAAGAAGCTTAATCAACTCCTAATAGGATAAATTTAAAGAGATTTACACCTATACCTATCAATATAAAACATGAACAAATGGTACTGGGATAGTCACTTGCAAAAGAATTAAGTAGGAACCCTCCCTCACATCACATACAAAAATGAACTCAGAAGGGACTAAAGAGCAAAATAAAAAAGTATTAAAAGGAAACATGGGTGAAATCTACATGACCCCATAAGAGGCAAAGGTTTTCTAGATACAAGAAAAGCACAACCAACAAATGAAAAAATAAACTAGACAGCATCAAAATTTAAAACTTCTGTGCTTCAGAGAACACCATCAAGAAAACAAAAAGGTAACAGAAAGGAGAATATATCTGCAAACCATCTATCTGACAGAACATGTATCAAGAAGATAAAAAGAATTCTTTAAAAGACAAACCAATTTTTTAAATAAGCAAATGATCTGGATAGACCTTCCTTCAAAAGGGATACAAATAGCCAATACACACATGAAAAGCTGTTCAACATACAGCCAGCCATCAGGAAACACAAATCGAAATGACAATGAGATACCATTTTACACCCACAAAAATCACTACTGCCAACAAGACATATAGTAACAAAGATTAGTGAGGATACAAAGAAACTGGGACACCTATACGCTGTTGGAAGGAATATAAATTGGTGAAGCTGCTGTGAAAAATAATCTGGCATTTTCACTCCTGGGTATATGTACCAGAAAAATTAAAACATATGTTCACATAAAACTTGTACACAGAAGTTGATAACAGTATTAGTCATAATAACCCAAAAATAGAAACAATCCAGTAATCAATCAACTGATAAACAGAATGTTGTATAACTGTATAGTGAAATATTACTCAGCCATCACAAGTAATTAAGTACTATCACATGTTACAACATGGACAAACCTTGAAAAGATCATCCTAAGTGAAAGAAAACACAAGAGACCACATATTACATAATTCCATTTATATGAATGAAATGTCCAGAATCAGCAAATCCATATCTACAGAAAGTCGATTAATGGTTGTCAAAGAATGGAGAAAAAAGGGAAATGGGAATAACTGCTGATAGACACAGGGTTTGGGAGGGGGGGGAAGAAAAGAAATGTTCAGGAATTAAATGGTGAGATGGGCATACAACACAGTAAATATATTTAAAACTACTGAGGTATATCTCTAAAATTGTGAAACCTATGTTATATGGAGTAATAGATAAATAAAAAACATATGCATCACAAAATATCAGACACTTAAAGAAAGATGTTTAATAACTCTCTAGTGGAAACTGCAAAACACAACTAGGAAAAACTAAAGATCTACTCAAACAGGGATATTCATGGATCAAAACTCAATATCATAAAGATGGTCATTCCCCTCAAATTCAATGCAATCCCCAAAATACGTCATTAGGTTTTTTTCCTGAAAATTGATAAACTGATTCTAAAAATCACAATACAAAAAAAAAAAAAAACCCTAAGAATAACCCAGAATACTGAAGAACAATGAACTTGGAAGACTTGCCCTACCAAATACTGAGATCTATTATGAATTGCACTAATCAGGCTATATAGCAAAGATGTCAAAATATAGCAACTAACTAGAGGAAAGGAACCAAGTCCAGGAACAGTCATGCATATATACTGTCCCCTGATTTAGGGCAAAGGAGGCCTTGTAGTTTAGAGTGGAAGGAAAAGTGTTTCAGTATGTGATATGGGATCAAACGGATGCCCTCATGGAGAAAAAAAGAAAAAATGTACCTTGATCCTTATTTACACCATATACAAAAATAAAGTCCAGATGAATTACAATCTGAATGTGGAAGTTAAAAAGATAAAATTCTATTATTTTTAAAAGACTTTTATTTATTTATTCATGAGAGAAGCAGAGAGAGAGAGGGGCAGAGACACAGGCAGAGGGAGAAGCAGGCTCCATGCAGGGAGCCTGATGCAGAACTCGATCCCGGGTCTCCAGGATCATGCCCTGGGCCAAAGGCAGGCGCTAAACCACTGAGCCACCCAGGGATCCCTAAAAAGATAAAATTCTAAAAGAAAAATAGAAGAGAGTTATCTTCATGACTTTAGAGGAAGCAAAGAGACTCCCAATATAAATGTCATCCAAGAGTTATTTTTACTACTTTACAAACTTTCTCTAAGTTTTAAATTATTTGCCAATGAAAAGGTAAAAACAAACACCCAACAGAAAAGATGGCAGAAGATTTGAATCAGCACTACACAAAAGATGATGTGCAAATGGCCAGTGAACATATGAAGCACTGCATATTTCATTAGTCCATCAAGAAAAGGCAAATTATAACCACAATAAGATATATCACCACAAACTTAGTAGAATGGTTAAACTTAAAAAGAAAATACCAGGCGTTGGTGAAGATGTGGGAGTATACCTATCTTGAAAACATTTGACAGTAGCTATTAAAGCAAAAAATATACAAAATCTATGAGCCAGCAATTCTACTTCTGAATATATACCAATAGTACCAAAAGAAATGTACTAGAACATCCACAGCAGCAGCTTCAAAATAGCCTAAAACTGAAAGACATCCAAACAGCCATCATTAGCATAACAGTAGAACCAAAGAACCTGTATAGCAATAATGATCTACAACTGCAAACAACACTATGAATGCATCTCACAAATACATTAAGCAGAAGATGGACGGAGAAGAGTATGTTGCATGATTCCATTTATATCAAGTACAAAAACAGAAAATTAGCCTAAGTTGCTAAAAGTCAGAATAAAAGTTAACCATGGAGTGGGAGTGAATGAAAATGAGCATAAAAGGGACTTCTGGAGGTGCCAGTAATTTCTATTTCTTGATTTGGATGCTTATAAACACACTAAGCCCAGGTGTGTTCAGTTAATGAGAAATCATTGAGCTACACAGGTACGAATGAGGTATGCACATGTCTGGTGCTATATATATATATATATATATATATATATATATATATATATGTCATATTTCAATATAAACTTAAATATGCTTATATTAATGCATACATATTGGTAATTTACTGAGTGACCACCATGTGCAAATTTTCTACCTCCAAATATATATAATTAAATAGAATAGCCATCAGAGATGTGCAAAAATGAACGATTCCCTGCCAGTCATTCTGTATTAGTCATTAAGCCAGGATCAAGCATAAAGATCTGCAACTGGCTTTTGATTACCTCACTTAAATACGAATTAGACTAATTTAAAGAAAATATTTTTTTTTAAAAAAAGAAAATATTGAGGAAGATACTGGGCTGCAGAAAACAACCAAATATTTAAAACTAAGAACAATGTCTGAGGAACATTAAATGTTAAAAATTGCTTGTTAAAAGGGGAAAAAGGCAATTCTAAAAGAAGAATCTGACTTTTTCTTAGCTAAACTTTCTCCTTGTCATTACATGTCCCCCTGCAATCATTAAAAAACATCCCAATTTATGACAAATAGCTAACCCTCATTCACCAAATTCTTCCCCACCTCACAGCCCTAAGAAGGCTATTTTGAAGGGCATACGAGTCCTAGCTGTACTAGGAAGGGCCTGGTATTCAATGGGCTATCTAATGGGCAAAAGAAAATGATGTTCTCAATACAGTAAAATGATGTATCTGATTATCATATATAGTTCCTAAGAATAAACTCTTTTATTATAAGTAGGTTTGCACAACTTTAAAAATTTTATAAGTTCACTATGTTTTCATGGGTTTTATTGTTGCTATTTTAACATGTCTACCCAGAAATTATCAAGAATTAAATATAGTAATGTTTATACCATCTCACCTCAACTTCATTAGAGGCCGAATCAGCAGAGTATGGTAGAGCACTGCCAGACCCGAACAAAATGTAATCTACAATTTCTTCATTCTCCCACAAATCCAAATATTCTATTCAGAGAGACATCCCAGTTCAAAGATATTGTGACTGACCAGAACTCACAGTCCCTATTCTGTACTTCACAGCACATTCTGGAGATCTTTAGGGAAAAAAATCCAGTGACCTTAGAAAGTCTAAGTACAAATCATTCCAAAATGTGGTCCTTACCGCCTCTTTTGGAAAATCCTCTGTTCCGTGTTTGATTATCTTCACAGTCATTATTAGATTCTTGAATAAAAATTTAACATGTGAATAGGATCTAAATAATTAACTTTAAAGTTGTAATATCTAAAGAAAAGCACTATCACAGTATAAATTAGTGAGGAAAATGAATATTAAGTTAAAATATGAACATTTTAATTCTTTTTTTAATTTTATTTTTTTGAACATTTTAATTCTTGAAATAATTTTAGCAACAGAAAAAGACATTATTCAGTCAACTATACAAATCATTTCACGTATCTAAATGTTAAATGTTAAGTGTATAACTGAGAACTCACTATTTCCCAAGTGCTCCACACAAGTAAAAAAATAAGAATGTCATCAATATTGATACGATTGAAAATGGTTTCAGAAATATCTAAACTAGGGACACCTGAGTGACTCAGGGGTTGAGCATCTGCCTTTGGCTTAGGGCATGATCCCAGTCCTGGGATCGAATTCCACATCAGGATCCTTGAGAGAAGCCTGTTTCTCGCCTCTGCCTATGTCTCTGCCTCTGTGTGTCTCTCATGAATAAATAAAATTTATTTAAAAAAAGAAATAGGGATCCCTGGGTGGCACAGCGGATTGGCGCCTGCCTTTGGCCCAGGGCGCGATCCTGGAGACCCGGGATCGAATCCCACATCGGGCTCCCGGTGCATGGAGCCTGCTTCTCCCTCTGCCTGTGTCTCTGCCTCTCTCTCTCTCTCTCTCTCTCTCTCTCTCTCTCTCTGTGACTATCATAAATAAAAAAATAAAATAAAATAAAATAAAAATAAATAAATAAATAAATATCTAAACTATTAAAGCAGTCAAGTGGTTCTTAAATGTAGGCCATACACCATAAGAAATACATGACAATTTTTTTTAAAGATTTTATTTATTCATGAGACACACGGGGGGGGGGGGGGGGCAGAGACACAGGCAGAGGGAGAAGCAGGTTCCATGCAGGGAACCGGATGCGGAACTAGATCCCAGGACTCTAGGACCACGCCCTAGGCCAAAGGCAAGACACTAAACCACTGAGCCACCCAGGGATCCCCGACAATTCTTTTTAAAATGCTATCAATATGTCTGTAATTTGCCTTTCTTACTAAAGGTTAGGCATTAGTGTTTTTTTTTTAAACATATGCAAACTTTTCCCCAATCATCCTAATGAAACAATTGGGGGATATCTTGTTTTTTCTGTTTTTAATGACATTATCAAGTAACATTACCATTTTCTAAACAGTGGAATAAGAATTACTACACTGAAGGCTGCCTAAGGATTAGCTAGAAAGTTTGTTAAAAATAAATTCCTAGAAAAAAATAAAATAAATTAACTAATTCCTAGAATCCACACCCAGAGATGTTTATCAGCAACAAATAAATAATTTTTCAAAGTTTAAAAATATGTTAGTAATATGACTTTAAGTAATAACTTTAAACTTTCTGGAAGATTCCAACAAAGCCACATTTGGGGATTACAGAAACAGTTTCAAGAGACCTTGCTACATGTCATTAGTGTTTAAAATCCGAGACCTTTATCTCATAGTAATGACATCAAGTATCTAGAAAGCTTAGAAGATACCAGTTAAGTTCCTATGCAAAAGTACTAATCTACTTAACAATTAATATTAAAGAAATAACCCAGGGCTCTTGTTGTAGGCTCCTACTTAAAATGAAGTCAACAAATACCAAATATTTCCTAAAGAGCCATTTAATATTGACAACTTTCCAGGAAGGAGGCTTTAACACTACAAGGGAGCTTAACAGGAAGGAAAGAATTTTGGAAAGCTTGGCCATCCCTGGAATAATGAGGACAGCTAACATTTATTGCCTTATATAAGAAAAATCTACAAATTAATTTGAGATCTGACAAGGACAAAGGGGTCTCACAGTGTCTTTGTCCAGTTATTGCCCTAAAACAAACTTCTATTTTGACCCCACTGGAAATTATAATAGGCAAATGACATCAGGTGAAGTTGGGTGAAGAGTACAATTGCATTAGGAGAAGGGGAAGGAAACTCTCTACTATTTTTCTAACTTGTAATGAGGCTCATACTATTTCAAAATAGTTATTAAAAAAAAAAGAATTTCTGTAAAGTTAGGAAATAAAGCCAAGCACAAAAGAAATATCATCCCAAGATTAGCTATGACCATATATTACATGAAAATTAATTATAGAAAACATACAAAATATACATAACATGTAAAGTATAAATACTTAAACATATAAACATAAATAACATGATACATAAGTATATTAAATATATATTTAGTATGTAAATATATTAGATATCCAATATAAACATATTTATATAATTTTTTAAATAGTAATAACGCAGAATTCAGTATGGTTTAGCACCGTTCTAAAGGAATAACATGTACTTTTTAAATCTTCACAAAAACCTTGTAAAGTAGGTATTATTCTTTCTATAAATAGAAAAAATGAAATACAGAGAAGCTTAATATGTTTTTTCAAGGTAACATAACTGAGAAGAGGAGAATTTGGGTCTTAAACCTACAGTGTCTAAATCCAAAATTAAAGGTCTTTATCACTAACTAAACCAGCTGGAAGAAATGAGACTGCAGGGAAAATAACCACAAAAGATGCTATTTGTGTGTAGAATAAAAGCTCTATCATGATATCAGAATCTGTTCCTCATCTTGTCAACAACAATTTTAAGAATGAAAGAACTCAATCCATATACATTTTTTTTTTCTTTTTAGGGGAAGTAAGCTTGAGAAAGAAGAAAGACTATTTTGGAGGAAAGTTCTTTCAGGTGCCATGAGAAACTAGAATTTGTGTTCAAAAGTGCTCTGGCCTACCACTGATAAAAATCAACAAGGGAAGAAGGTCTGGGCTAAGTGAAAATGATCTTGAATATTCTATGATTTTAAAAAGGAAGATTAAGTAAAATAGAAATGGAAAAGAATTAAAATGGTCATTTTTTCCTTCCATCAAATATTTGTTCTATGGTATATTTTCATTTGAATAAGATGAAAAAAGCATAGAAAATCAGGGAGAATGAGACTGACAATGGCTTAGGGAAAGAAACAGTCTTATAGGTATATTAAAACCCTATCTAATTCCAAAGGGTTTTATGGTGATCAGTTTAGGCTTGGTTTTGATTTTGAGAATCACTGTTAAAAGTACAATGAGATTAACTCTCAAATATTTAATGAAGATAGATGGCATTTACCATGAATGTGTCTGGTATTAAACTTTATATTTTCATTAAGCCTGCCTAACAACCTATAATACAGACGTCCTCCATTCTGCAGAATACGAACTGTGGCTCTGAGAAATTAAGCAACTTGCTCTTAGTCATTCACATAGCAGGGACAGGAAACAAAGTCTGCAGCTCCAAAGTATATTATGTTATTAAGAGTATACAGATAAGGGCACCTGAGTGGCTTAGTCAGTTAAGTGTTCGACTATTGATTTCGGCTTAGGTCATGAGACAGAGCCCCACATGGGCTCTGTACTAGGCATGGAGACTGCTAAAGATTCTTTCTCTCTCTCTCCCCTTCTGCCCACCCACCCTCTTCCTCTTTTTAAAAAAAAAAGAAAAAACATTCCACAGATAAGTGATTACCAATAAAAAGACATCAGAATCACCAGTGATGCTTTTTAAATATAGTTTCCAAGGTCTCACCCAAATCTACTTAATCTACTTAAAAGCACTATTACTTACTATAATCTATCTTCTGATAACATTACTCTACTTTCATCACTCTGTATTCCTCCAAACCAGTTGGTTAGTACCTTTGCCAGAAATGTCCCGATTTCAGCAGTCATCCACATTCTCATGAATCTTTTCCCACTGTTAAAAATTACGTGAGGCTGAAGAGGGACCTGCATGTCCTAAAATGTATGTATATATGGACATGCAGTTTTGTTCTTTCTATTATCCACTTTTTCTTAAGGAAAGAAACCATTCAAAAGTTGCACCTCATAGATTAACTAAGGCAGGCTGCAAAAGGTCAAACTAGGACACCTGAATTCTTGGTTAAGGCTCTGGCTATAGCTGCTTTATAAATATATATTTTTTAGATTTTTATTTATTTGACAGAGAGAGAGAGAGAGAACAAGCATGTAAAGGGAGAAAAAGAGTTCCCACCAAGCAGGGAGCCCAGTGTTGGGCTCGATCCCAGGACTCTGGGATCATGACCTAAGTCAGAGAAAGATGCTTAACCAATTGAGCCACCCAGATGCCCCTACAGCTGCTTTGTAAAATCAGGTTTAAATAAATTAGAATTGAAAAAGACTATGACACTTAATCTTAGTTTCTCTTTAGCATGTACTCTGAACATTACATTTTAAAGCTACTACAAAAAACATTGAACTCACCTCTCCAGAAACCAGAGCTATCACCTTCTTCAAACTTATTTGAAAAACCTATACAAAAGAGAAAATTAAACTTGTAAACTTCTGACAATTACCTATACCTCTATGGTAAACCAAAAAAAAAAAAAAAAAAAAAACAACAAACAAAAAAGGGACTGCTAGTTATGATGACCCTTTAAAATAGGATAAACCACAAAGAACTACATATATACACACCGAAAGAAAACCAACACAGGTTGGATTATGACTTCTGCCTTGTGTCAATTAATGAAGGTAAAATGTCCAGCCAATGTTATATTACCTCGAATGTCATATGCTTCTATATACAGATGGTCAGAAAAGGGGTATATATATCAACATAAACACTATATATTTTCTATTCAAAAGACCAAAGTTTTTAAAACCTTATAAATTAACTCAATCTCTTGATTCGCCAGTGGACAATACCAAATTATAATCTAATCTTCAATAATCCTTCCCATCTCAATAATAAGGAAATTCTTCCAACATTTTTTGTTAAAAAAAATTTTTTTTACATCTTTCATTTACCTCTGCTTTCAAATTTCTCATATAATAAAAACCTGTATCTAGATTTATGTGTCTCTGGAGCATACAGATACATCTCTAAAATTAATTTTAAATGCATTATCAGTAGTATTTCACAAAAGTATTAAATGTTGGATCTTAAAAAAATGATCTTTAGTGCGAAGATATTCAGAGTAATATTCATTAAAATTAAATGCCCCTATAAGATGGCTGTCAATCAGTATTTAAGCTAAATTATAAAATATTAAATGTATTAAATCATGGTTTCTGCAATACAGAAACCAATTACTGTCTGACATAAATTTATATGCAGAATGTATACATAAAGCTACTTAATATCTCAGGTTCATAAATCTAACATCCCTTTTAGCACAGAAATTTAATACATAATTATGACACAAAAATAAGTACCAATAGGATTAGGTGACAAAAAAGGTTTTCCTTGAAAAGATAAATAATTTCAAAATAAAAACAATCTGTACAGAAAGAGTATATTACCATGAAACCTAAATTTTGAGTTATTTAATCCATTTCAAGATTTGCAATCTTTCAAGTTGGTTCAGAAAAGGATTATTCTATCTACTTCCCTCTACAACTGCCCCTTCCCTCCATTCTATCCTCTTCAACTGCTGGGTTTCCAAAATGCTTCAGAAGTCTTCCACCTACACAGTACTGGTCTTGATCTTAAATTCTGCATCAGTTCTGATATACAGTTTTTAAAGTTTTTTTTTTTTTTTTTTTTTTTTTTTTAGTTTTTAAAGTTTTTAAGGAAGAAAAGAATTTCAAAGCTTCTACTCGTTCTTTGTTCAACTAGATGAAGATTTAAATTTACCTTTGGAAGTATGTAAGATGGATCTCTTGCTGGGAGGCACAGGGGAAGGGAGTCTTGAGTACAGAAAAAAAAACTAGGGTTCACTCAAATTGTGATTATAAAGTATCATAAGCAGTTTACCTCTGTTTCCAAAACTCTTTCCAACTCCAAAACCACCCATTGTAGATGTATTCTCTCTTTTATTAGACTCACCAGCATCTGAAAACGTTCAGAGTTAAAACTCTTTAGAACATAAAATTAACTGTGTCATCAAAAACTAGGAATTAAATGAATCTTTGGGATTACTTAAAAATAAAATCTTTTAAGGGGGAGGCGGGGCACCTGTCTGGCTCAGCTGGTAGAGCATGCAACTCTATCTCAGGATGGTAAATTTAAGCCCCATGTTGGGTGTAGAAATTACTTAAAAATAAAGTCTTAAAATGAATGAATGAATCAATCTTTTCTGTAAAGGGACTTCTAAGGATAGGGAGAAAGTAGTACAGAAACTTATAAAAATAAAATATCCTGCAACTTCTATTTAAAAACTCTTGAATTATAATACCAAAGTAAAAACATAAACATACTACTGGTGAAATACAGCTTTCTACTACTACTTGTTACTTAACTTTTTATCAGGAAATTCAACTCTGTGATTTTCTGTATACTGAAACCTCACCCTGAAGAAAGCCACTTATTTATGCTTCTGCATGGAAGTCCTGCTATTGAAAATTTTATACTCTTATCCTGTTGTGCTTTTTTTAAGATTTTATTTATTTATTCATGAGAGACAGAGAGAGGCAGAGACATAGGCAGAGGGAGAAGCAGGCTCCCAGCGGGCTCCCAGGACTCTGGGATCACGACCTGAGCCAAAGGTAGATGCTCCCAGCCCCATTGCCCACCGAGAGCCACCCAGGTGCTCCTCTTGACCTTTTTTAAAATTATCATTACTTAATCATTTTGTTAGCATTTAAATTGCTCTCAATCTTTCTACTTTTAAAACTCAAATTAGGAAGGAACTACACAACAAAGAAATAAAAGCTGAACTACCACTTCCTGAGTCACATCTCTACCACTCCGGGTCTTTCCTTATATTATCCTTGTGAACTTTATCCTCACAATGATGAGCATCCAACATTTTAACTCATACCAAACTATTTGCCATACTCCACATTGTTAACTTCTAATATTTTCTACCTTCCTACACACTGGTCCTTAAGCAAGGCATTCCCTGCTTTTCTATTTTTCCTATCAAAATTCTTTTCACTCTGCAAAACCCCATTTCAAAGGCCACCTCCTCTATGAAGTCTTCTTTCAGACTTCAGTCATAATCAATCCTTCCTCCACATTCCCACAGCATACTATCACTTACTTTCTTTGTGTTTCTCTACCACTAGTTAAGAATTTTGAAGACAGAGTTGCTATGGCAAGAAGCATAGCTATTTAAGCCAAAAAACTGGACAAAAGACATACAAACTGATATAAACTGACACTTTAAACTATCACTAGAAAAATTTAAAGCATTTTCTTGTGGTCTTCATAAATTGTGTCTTACCTAACTATACAATATCCTAATGCAGGGAAGTTAAAGATCTACAAAACTCCTCAAGCCACGTGCAAAATTGTGTATGAGCAATTATCTGTATTTTCATCAGATTCTAAAGATGTGTATGATTCAAGAAGTTAAAGCTATTTAGGTCATACTTCACAGAACATGAAAAGTGATCAATACTCTATTATGAGCAATTAAGGGTCAGTTTCTTTCCTTTTTTTTTTTTTTTAAGGAAGGGTGATTTTCAAAAACAAATTGCTAGCTACACAAGCTCTGAGAAAAAATATAGAGGTTGAAACTAAAGTATTCCATTAACAGTAAGGGAAAGGAGTTATATTCATTGGTCTATGAATTTCCAAGACTATACGTAGTACAATGATAACTTTTTAAAGTATTAACATTCAGCCAAGAGTTCTGATCAGAAGATTAATGTGTTTTTCAACCTAACACATATGAAATTAACAGTGTGTAGTAAAATCGGTCTCAGTGACGGTTTTCTCATTTAAAAAGCCTTTATTTAAAAAATAAATAAATAAAAAATAAAAATAAATAAAAAGCCTTTGTTCAGAGATACAGGCTTCCAGTTACAGAATGAATAAGTCACACAGATAAAAAATATATCATAGAAGATAGAGTCGTTGGTATTGTTAATAATGTTGCATGGTTACAGATGGTAGCTATACCAGTGATGAGTATAGTATAGTTGTGGAATCGCTACGTTGTATATCTGAAACTAATGTAATGCATTGTGCATCAACTACACTTCAATTTTAAAAAAAAAGGAAAAAGCATTCAATTAATGCAAGACTTTAACAAGATATATGAATATACTTTCTGAATTTGAAAATTTAAAAATACCTAATTAAAACATTTCTGGGGAGCCTGGGTGGTTCACTAGGTCAAGCATCCATCCAACTCTTGATTTCAGCTCAGGTGATTATCTCAGGGTTTTGAGATGGAGCTTCCTCTGTGCTGGGCATGGAGCCTGCTTGAAATTCTCTCTCTTGCACGCCCTCTGTCCCTCCCCCCCACTTCCTCTCTAAAAAATAAAAAAAATTTTAAAGGCTTTATTCATTAGTATTTTGAAATCCACATCAAAAAGTGTCACCTAGAGGATCCCTGGTGGCTCAGCAGTTTGGTGCCTGCCTTTGGCCTAGAGCGTGATCCTGGAGTCCCGGGATCGAGTCCCACGTCAGGCTCCCTGCGTGGAGCCTGCTTTTCTCTCTGCCTATGTCTCTGCCTCTCTCTGTGTCTCTCATGAATAAATAAATAAAATCTTTAAAAAAACAAAAACAAAAACAAAAGAAGTGTCACCTAAATTAAATTCTAAAATAAGATTTTAAAACATCTACTCTAAAATACATTTTTTAGAATACATTTAAGTATTAAATTTCCTCTAAGTGTAATATTCAGGTATTTATTATCTCTAATGTTATTAGTAACCAACAAAACCCCCACTTGAACCTTTTAGCAAATCAATGCCTCTTACTATGCAGGCTTTAAAAACACAATAAAAATGCATATTTAAAGAAATTATTTCTTGGGGCAGCTCAGCTGGTTAAGCATCTGCCTAGGACTCGGGTCATGATCTTAAGGTCCTAGGATTGAGCCCAGCCCTGCATTGGGCTCCCTGCTCAGGAGCAGTCTGCTTGTCCTCTCCCTCTGCCCCTTACCCCTCTTGTGTACTCACTGTACTCTCTTCTCTCTCAAATAAATAAAATCTTAACTGAATCTAAACAAGAAATAAAGTTTTCCAAGTATCAAAGGAAATACCATACAACAATCTTTAATGTCTCCAATGAATAAAAATACCTAGAAATAAAGTTTTTCAATTAACATCCAATGAATTCAAGATTAAGCATTATGTGTATTTAAAACTACCAATTAGCCCTAACTTATGACACCCTGTAAAAAAAATAGTCATGTGGATTTTTAAATAAATTTTAGGTTTTAATATTTTATGCCACTATACTAAAACATAAAGTAAAATACTTTCAGCATTGTAATAACAAATCTAAAAATGGACTGTAGGAAGGTATTTTGCTATATTATTACCTGTCAAATCAAGTACTTGTTCTAAAAATAAAAAGTTCCAAGTTTGGGGAAATAACCTCTTAATACTAATAAACTTACAGAAATGCTTCCATATTGCCTTTTCTTGAGAAATAAAAACTTAAAAAAGAGACCCTTCCTACCCTAATCTCTGAAGTTTTTACAAACATTCTCCTGCCAATTGTTGGATATCAAGAATCATAAACACATCAAGAAATACCCCTATAAAGCCATCCTTAACCAATGTAGTTTATCAATTTAACTCCTACTATCCCAAAGGAAAAAGCAAAAAGGAAACTGCTAAGTGAAAAAACGATAAACTCATTATTCCAAAGTCTACTGTGCAGTGAGTTACAACAGACTTAGCTTTGCACTAAACAGCTATAATAGTTTCTATTCTTTCCACCACTGAGCAGTTAGTAAGTTTATGGAAAGACAAATATACTTACCTCTGTTTCCCATACTCCTCCCTGAGAGAAATCCACCTCTCATGAAATGATCTCTTCGAGAAGGTCCATCATTCATTTCTGAATCAAGTAACATTTAAAGCAAGTCAAAAAGGTATCATGTGGTACAAACATTATCATGTGCCATCCCCCATGATAAAGGAAGAATTCTATAAATCAATAAAGACAAACAGCCTAGTAGCTTTAGATAGGTAGTTCTCCAAAGGAAAAATAAATGATGACTAAATCTTACTCAGTTAAACAAAATGTAAATCAAAGGAAGAAGACAGCTTTTTTCAATCATATGACTGACTGGAAAATAGTTTTAAGTTTGCTAATACCAAAAACAGTTAAGGGCATAGGGAAACAAGCACAAATCATATACTATAGTAAAGCTACAAATTAGATCTTGATCCTAGCTTTAAAAGAACATGCTTTTTGAATGTATATTCATTTCTTCTCTGGATAAACAAACCAAATTGTCACACAGAAATTAAATCAGTACTTAAATCTCTGCATCATGGCCTAGGTTTGTTTTGTTTTGTTTTACAGGCGAGCTCTACAAAACTCTCAAAGAACAAATCATTCCAATGACATATAACCCTCCCAGGAAACATAAAGAGGAAATATTTCCCCACTCATTTATACCAAGTCAACACAACGTTAACAAGTCAAGGACAGAAGAAAATCTCTTTGACTCACAAGTAGATGCAAAATCTCCATAAAAATTATTAGCAAAACAAATCCAATAGGAAATTAAATAGATAGAACATTATGACCAACTGGGGTTTATTCCAGTATGCAAGGATATTTTAAACAACACAGCATCTTAAAAAGGTAAGAAACAACATTAACATATCAAAATGAAAAAAACTATCTCTACAGATAAAAGTACAAGAAGTAACTCAACATGGGGGCACTTTGGTGGTTCAGTCCAGTTAAGCATCTGCCTTGGGCTCAGATCATGATCTCAGAATCCTGGGATCAAGGCCTGTGTCCGGCTCTCTACTCAGCAGGAAGTCTGCTTCTTTTTTTCTCTTTCTCTCTCCTCCCCCCCCCCCTTCCTCTATCTCAAGTAAATATTTTAAAAAGCATTTTAAAAATAACATGATTTATAACAAAAATATATATTAGCAAACTAAGAGGTTTTCATGGCAGCTCTATTCATACTAGCAAAAAGGAAATAATTCAAATGTGAGTCAAGAAGAAAATAAACATATAGTATGACCTGTTTGGCCAAAAAAATTAAAGTATAATAGATCTAATTTAACAAAACAAAGTACTGTCTCCTTCAAAAAAAGCACTCTACATGGTATACAACTTTACACTTTACAAAATTACTCTACATTCATCACCTCATTTGATCTTTATCCTTATAATAACCCTGTTAGGAATGAGGGTAGGTATTTCTGAGTTTGGTTTTAGAAAAAATTTAAACCCCAAAATAACAGAACCTATATGTGCTAGGCCTAGGAAGCAGGATTTCCATCCCAAAACTGTGCTTAATTATACCCACTGCAAAAAAAATTTAAATGATCTGAACTAGCAGCAGACATAAGAAAAAAAAAAAAGTTAACACCCAAAAAGAAAAAACTTAAGATTCAAGTAGTTTATTACCATCAAAATAAAATTAGTTGACAACTAAAACAAGTGGTCAAATTCAAGATAGATAATTGTTATCACATGTGCACAAGAAAATCATCATTTGAGCACCACAGATACCAGGCACTACACTACATTAGGCCTTTGTATATATTAACTAGCTTATTTAACACTTAAAAATGTAAGAGCTATTATCCTCATTTTTAAAATGAGAAAACAAAGTTTAGAGAACCTAAAGTTTAGAGAAGCAACTTCACCAAGGTCATCCAGCCAGTATGAAGACTGGACTTCAATTTGAAACCAATCATCAGACTTAAAGCCCTACTTATTGAAGACCTGTATACATTCTCCACAGTACATCTATAAGAGAAGCACCTTACCATCTCTAGATGGTAAATCAAAGGACAAACTTAAAAATAATCTTGGACAACACCCCATTGGTCATTCAAATCTGAAAGTAAAACACAGGAAAGATACAAATATTTTTAAGAATTAAAGGAAACAGCATGCAAAATTTTTAAAAATCCCAAGGTATAGTCTAAAAATGATGGTCCAAAAACTGAAGGTTCTAATAAAGAATTAATTCATCTTGTCTTCTTTGCTTTTAGCACGCAAAAGGAAATAGGCAATTACTCTCTTTACGTTTAAGTGTTTTTTTTATTAGTTTTAGGGATTGCTGCTCTCACTTTCATTAATTTAGTGATATACCATCACTGAATTTTATCAGGTTCAATCCCCATCATAATAAATACATAGTTGGAAAAATATCAGTAAAGAAGTCCATGATACTAATAAATGATAGAGTATAGCTATTTATCTTTGGTGCTCTGAAGCCTATCAAAACAAAACAAAAGAAATGAAAATAAACTCCATTTAAAACGAAATTAGATTAATGGAAGCAATTCCCACCAAATGACCGCATGTAATTACATTCAGACCAGATTCAGAAAGAAGGAGCAAATCCTGAACAACTTAAAAAAAAAATCCACAATTTAACCACCAAGAAAAAGAACAAGAACTAGAAGACTTTAGTTCGAGCTCTAATCCACCTGTAATCTTCCAATCTTCATCCAGCGTCATCTGCTTATTAACCCAAAGTGAAAAGGGTAAGAGAAGATGAAAAAGACTCAGTGGCAAAAAGTTCTGAAACAACTTCTCAGTATTTAGGGCTGCCAGCTGTCCTAATCTCTAATGCCCTTCATTATCTCAAGTAGCTCAAGGACTACACATTTATAAATCATCAACCTCCAGTCTTCCAACCAGAGATCATGTAATTATAAATGTGCACAAAAATTGCCTGGAAATCTGGTTAAAATGTAGATTATGATATAGTAGTTGTGGGTGAAGCATTAGAGTCCGCATTTTTTTTACAAGTTTTTTTTTTTGTTTAATTTGAGAGATAGAAAGTCCATACAAGCAGGGGGATGAGGGATGATGAAGGGCATAGAGAAAAGCAGACTCCCTGGTGAGCAGGGAGCCTGGCATAGAGGTCTATCCCATGACTCTGAGACCATAACTTAAGTTGAAGGCAGACAGATGTTCAACCAACTTAGCCACCTCTAGACTCTGCATTTCTAAGTTCAGATGTAACACCAATGCTACCGGTCTGCCAACAATATTCTTACATCCACCAAAAGACATAACAGAAGTTTACAAAATAGGAAAATACTGTAAACTATCCACATGCCCATTAATACGATGGATGGCATTTGTATCTGTCCTATGTTATATCCATAAATAATCTACAACTATTTCCAATAACATGGAGAGAAGCTTAAACACAAGAGAATTTAATGTATGGTTCCAATTCTATATAATTTGTATATACAGGAAAAACTTTATGCTGCTAGAAATTAGAATAGCAGTTACTCCTAGTCAGAGTGATGGTTGCCTTGAACAAGGGATTTTAGAGTTCCACTAATGCTCTGTTCTTGATATGGGTGAACATGAAGGTGTATTCACCTTGTTCAAATCCAGCGACCTGTACATTTATGATGTATACCTTAAAAATATTGAATCTGGCAGGGCAAGAAGGTGGAAGAGTAGGGTCCCCAAGTCACCTGTCCCCACCAAATTACCTGGATAACTTTCAAATCATCCTGAAAACCTACGAATTCGGCGTGAGATTTAAAGAGAGAACAGCTGGAATGCTACAGTGAGAAGAGTTCTCGCTTCTATCAAAGTAGGAAGACGGAAAAAAATAAAATAAAAAAGCATCCAAGAGGGAGGGGCCCCACAAGGAGCGGGTCAAAACCCCAGTCCCAGAGAAGCAGGAGCTTTACCAGTCTTCCCGGACAGAAAGGCACTTGCAGGGAACTCGGGCAGGATCCCAGGAGGGGAAGTGGAGCCCCCCAGGTCCCCCGGGTCACTAACAGAGGAGATGCGCCCCTGGGGAGAGTGCACCACACTCCCCGGGCCAAGCTCCCTACAGGGCTGGAGTGCGCGCCCCACGGGGCCCAAGGACAACTCAGGTGGAGGCTCTGCACGGAGGGGGCTGCATGGCCCCGGGAGCCCGATTCCAGGGGCGGGCGCAGACCCCATAGCCCAGGGCACCAGGGGACACAGCCCAAGATCCAGCGCTCCCCCCAGGACATGCAGGGGCAGGGAGGGCCCAGGACAGCAAAGACGCTCCTGCCCCCAGGCGCCCCCGAGCTGTGCAGATCAGCGCCCCCCCCCCCGGAGCATCCAGGACCCTGCGGACTGGGAGACTGTGGTAGTTACTGCAGGAGCAGACTCCAGAGCTGGAGAGCTGGCCGCTGCCACTGTTGTTCCTCCTGGTGTCACCTTGTGCCTGGGACTGAGCAGGGCCGCCAGGGAGCAGGTACCTCGCAGGATAAACAGCTCCCACTGAGCCGTGCACCTGGCAGGGGGCAGGGCAGCTCCCCCAGGTGCACACACCTGAGAATCAGCACAGCAGCCCCTCCCCCAGAAGACCAGCTTAAAGGACAGGGCAAGAGCAAGTTCTTGACCAAGCAGCGCTGGAAAGTTCCAAGGGAAGTCTAGGGACTTACAGTATATAGAATCACAGGATACCCCTCCTTTTGTTTTTGTTTGTTCCCCCCTTTTATTCTTTCTCTTTTTCTTTTTCCAGTACAACTTGTTTTTAGCCACTCTGCACTGAGCAAAATGACAAGGAAGAATTCACCACGAAAGAATCAGAAATATTCCTCTCTCCCACAAAGTTACAGAATTTGGATTACAATTCAATATCAGAAAGCCAATTCAGAAGCACAATTATAAAGCTACTGGTGGCTCTAGAAAAAAGCATAAAGGACTCAAGAGACTTCATGACTGCAGAATTTAGATCTAATCAGGCCGAAATTAAAAATCAGTTAAATGAGATGCAATCCAAACTGGAGGTCCTAATGACAAGGGTTAACGAGGCGGAAGAACAAGTGAGTGACATAGAAGACGAGTTGATGGCAAGGAAGGAAGCTGAGCAAAAAAAGAGAAAAACAATTAAAAGATCATGAGGAAAG